CACAAACGTGGGCTTGAAACTCAATATCAAAAAAACTAAGATCGTCCACCCCCATCACTCCTTGGCAAATAGAAGGGGAAGTCATGGAAGCAGTGACAGAATTCACGTTCCTGGGATCCAAGATCACTGCAGACGGTGACGGCAGCTATTAAATTAAAAGACACCTGTTCCTTGGGAGGAAAGCAATGGCAAACCTAGACAGAATAATAAAAAGTAGAGACATCACCCTGCCAACAAAAGTCTGTATAGTCAAAGCAATGGTATTCCCAGTAGTAATGTATGGCTGCAAGAGTTGGACCATAAGGAAGGCTGAGCACCGAAGAATAGATGCTTTCGAATTATGGTGCTGTAGAAAACTCTTGAGAGTCCCTTGGACTGCAAGGAGATCAAATCAGTCAGTCCCAAAGGAAATCAACCCTGACTGTTCCCTGGAAGGCCAGATATTGAAGCTGAAGCTCAAATACTTTGGCCACCAAACAAGAAGGGAGCACTCACTGGAGAAGCCCCAGATGCTGGGAAAGATTGAAGGTAACAGAAGAAGGGGATGGCAAAGGATGAGATGGTCAGACAGTGTTATCGACCTTCAATCTGCAACAAACATGAAATTGAGCAAACTCTGGAGGACAGCCAAAGACAGGAGGGCCTGGTGTGATGTGGTCCATGGGATCACAAAGAGTCGGACTCGACTGTGCGACTGAACAACAACAAAGAATATGGTAGCGGTGCTCAAGGGTACTGTCACAAGCATCTACTGAAGCTCTGTTTCTAAGGCCAAAATCATGTATGTGTTCTAGGAAAAATGCAGAGAGTTGACAGTGTTTGTTTCCTTCTTCAAGGACATCATAAACACACTCCTCATCTCAAAGTCAACCCCATGCTTACATTTACTGAACATTTCGGGTACTTTTGCAATGAACTGGGGGGGGGGAACAGTTCCTCTTTCACCATTGTAGTTCAAACTGTACATCTCATACAGGTAGATGTTAGGAAAGCCAGAAGTTGAACCTGCTTGGTATATGAGAGAATGGCAGCCTCTCCCTTGGATAGGAGCCAGGGAAAAGAGCAGATAACCAAAACTCCCAAAACCAATAAGCCAAAGTGGAAAGAATGAGTCTAACCAGTTCATTGCTGTTCCAAGTAACATTTTAGGGGGGTTTATGCATAAGTTCTTTATAGATTGCCCAGTGCTGTAAAGGAGTGAAGGACCAGTTCTCTGGCACATTAGAAGAGAACAGGTACAACTGGCTTTAGGATTTCTACTATTTAACCCTCTGATATCTATGAACAAGATTAAGTGAAACTTAACCAGTACAGTGACAATCTATATTTGTTATCCAATACTTTCCCTCTGCTATAAAATGCTCTTAACAATTAAACCATTTTCTCCTTTCCCACTCATGTCACTGAATAGCAGCCATGCTCCTTTAATTCCTGAAATAATATCCTGCTTTTGGTTTGTTCTCTGGTGCCCCATTACTGGACATACCATAACTACTTTTTTTTGTTTCAACAAGAGTCATGATGTGAACAAGAATTTCAAGATGACCCACCTCTACTTCATCATCACTGCTAAAGACATCAAGAATTTATATCTCATTCTGCTCATGTTCCTGCCCCAGAAATAGGAATGCCCTCCAAATTCTTTACCAAAGAACTTTCTATGTTCACATCTTTTCTATCATTTGGTTTTATACAATGTCAAGTGGTCCACAAAACAAGAACTGCACAAAATCTGTCTCCTAATAGATGTTCAGTCATGACTAAATGCATTTTTCCTGTGCTCACAGTTTTAGCTGTTCTAGCTCCATCACTACAAGGGTGTCTCTGTCATTCATCCAAAGGTCTACAAGACAAAACCCTTCTTTAGGTCAACAATATACATCTTCATGCCAGTTTTCTGAATCCCAAAGCTTGATCTTTTTCTTCAATAACTAGATGAAGTTTCATTTACTTTAACGTCAAAAGCTTAGAACTTAACCTCATATCATTCAACCTCATCAATCCCCTGGGATGAGGCAGTTCTCCATTATTTCCATTTAATGGATGGGAAATTAAGGAATAGTTTCCTCTTCACACATTAACATGGTTTTTTTTTTTGTAATATGGTCCTTAGGAAATAGCAGGAAAACCACATGTATAGTGTCACTTACAAAAGATGCACACACTCCAGTACAGGTAGATATGCTGTATACCTAATCAGAAAGTCACAACTAATCATTGCTTATTAATACATATAAAGTCATGGAACTCACAGGTGTGCACCTATCACATAGGACAACATCCATGCAGATTCCATACCATTTTGTAGAGTGAAGAACTTTCTGATAAGAAAATATTTAGCATATGAAGCTGCACTCAGAGAGAAGGACTTGTTCTGGGCTGCCAAATCATTTGATGTGTGTGTGGTGAGGGGGGGGAGAGGAGGAAACCCCTAACAGTGCACACTTCTGTAATCACAGCACTTCTGTCTCATTTCTAAGGGCAACTTCCCTCTTCATTACCTGCCTCTTTCACCAAAGCTCCCATTATTCAAGGAACACAGAAAAGGGTTAGATCCAAAAGAATAAAGGGGCACGTGGCTTCACATTCTCCTCAAAACCTCTCTTTTCAACACTGTATTTCCCTTAGAATAACAGAATCACAGAGTTGAATTACCTCATGACCACCTTACCCCATTAATACTTATCCCACCCCGTAGACAAGTTTAAGGCGGTGGTCACACACACTAAATAATCCACTTTCAGTGCACTTTCCAACTGGATTTTTACTGTGTGAACTGGCAAAATCCAATTCGAAAATGCATTGAAAGTGGATTGAAAGTGTATTATTTAGCATGCGTGACCGCAGCCAAAGTATCACTGTATTCGTTCGCAAGCATCCTTTCCTACGTTTGTCTCTCCCCATCCTATTGCCCATTCTTGATTATGAACTTCACCAGTGGGGACAGAGCCCCATCTATCTTTGCATAGTGTCATCCTGTAAATCGGCATAAATAAAAATAATAATAGTAAGCAGCTTCTGATGGACTCAGTTTCCTACATAAATTTGTCTAATTTCCTAACTCAAAGTTCTCCAGGCTAACAGGCATCATCACATACTGTATCCATGACTCTTCAACCACTACGCAGGATATCCTGCAGTTGCTTCCTACCCAGTCGGTGTTTCTCCATCAATCCACCCCCCCCTCTTCTCACCTTCGCATTTACTAGGCAACTTCACCCAATCGCTGTCGTCGGCGACGGCTCCCCCCAGCCCAGGGACCGGCACCAGCGGCAGAACCACCAAGAGCACCGCGGTGGGACCCCAGGAAGCCATGTGGGTCCCCTGCTTGGGTTCCCACGCTTCCAGCGCCCTCCAGCACACACTTCCTCCCGCCCAGCGCTTCCGGGAACCTCACCTCTCTCCAAGTGTAACTATAACAACCAGAAACACCAGCCAATCTCAGCCAGGAGCGTGTCACTATCTCACCAACCGACAGCGGCATACCACTCAGCCCTTAAGTTACCAACCAATCAGAGAGCCTTGAAATCACTCACTTCCCCAATGAGGAACGCGGAAAGCTTTATTTCCCAGCGCAGCCAATTAAAGCGAGACTCTGACTGGTCTGTGATTGGTGTATCTTTGCTTTCGTCCCTGCCTGGTATCCTCGCACCTTTTTATTATGAAAAGGCCATTCGCAGGTTATGAGTAGAATTCTTTATTGTTATTATTAGCTCCAATTCTTATAGTGAGTCAGAGCACTGGACCATCTTCTAACTGACTGTTGCGTTCTGTTTGTGACGTGGCAACGGATGGTTCTTCAGGATGTCAGTCAGGGAAAAGGACTGGACCCAACTTTTATTCCATATAAAGTATGTGCTCAGCTTCTAAGCCGTGGCCTTGATCCAGACTATTGCAGTGCATCAAGCGGTATTATTCTATGCAGGTCAGTCCACTGTCCGGTAAATGTGTTGTTGTACCCAGAGGTCATTTCGTATGTATGGCTGCAAGAGTTGGACTATAAGGAAGGCCGAGCACCGAAGAATAGATTTTTTTGAACCATGGTGCTGGAGAAGACTCTTGAGAGTCCTTTGGACTGCAAGAAGATCAAATCAGTCAATCCTAAAAGAAATCAACCCTGACTGTTCCCTGGAAGGCCATATTATGAAACTGAAGCTCAAATACTTTGGCGACCAAATGAGAAGGGAGCACTCACTGGAGAAGACCCTGATGCTGGGAAAGATTGAAGGTCAAAGAAGACGGGGACGGCGGAAGACAGGAAGGCCTGGCGTGATCTGGTCCATGGGGTCGCGAGGAGTCGGACTCAACTGTGCGACTGAACAACAACAACAACATTTTGTAGAAAAAGAGGTGCAGGAGCTCATTAGCATAACTCATTTGCATATGCCACACCTCCTGACATCACCGGAAGTGTGTCAGAAGGCAACCCCCACAGCTCAAGCTCCACTGGACTGTTTTGGATTGCTAGCTATTGGGGGGGGGGACGTGCGGATCTGTCCTCACAGAGGAGGGAGAGCTTGTACCTGAATAAAACTTGGTCTTAAAGGTGCCACTGGACTTTTTTTTGGGGGGGGGAGCTCTGCAACTTACCTGGCTGCTTCTTGCTCCGACTGAGGGCTGCTGGGAGCAGGGGATGGGGCTTGTTGCATGTGCCTGCCCCCTGGGCTCTTTACTGCCAGAGCTCCGCTCCTGCAGGAAATGACCCCTGGTTGAACCGCTAATTCACACGTCTGCATATATTATTTCATAACCCCTCTTTTTGTAGCAGGAACTCCTTTGCATATTAGGCGACACACCCCTAATGTAGCCAATCCTCCAAGAGGCTACAGTAGCCCCTGTAAGAAGAGCTCTGTAAGCTCTTGGAGGATTGGCTACATTAGGGGTGTGTTGCCTAATATGCAAAGGAGTTCCTACTACAAAAAGAGTCCTAAGCTATCAATATGCCTGGACTAGTGACTTCTAATAATACAGTGAATATTTTTCTGCTAAGGGCTTCAGAGATCTCTTCTAGTCTAATGAACTGGAATAAAATCTTACATATGTTTAAAGCACCACTAGACCCTTGCTGCAACACACTAATGTAACTACTCCTCTGGGATTTGCAAAAATTTGCTTTATCTACAAATATACAAGCAGATCATAAATGGAAGCAAAAGGTACACCTGAAAAACAGCGCTTCACTTCAAGCGCACACTTCCAGCACTGGAGCAAACAAAAACCCTACACCTCATGGCACTTGACGTTCCACCAACTCGTCAGCTCTGTCTACCTTTCTCGAAATTCAAACCTTCCGACTGCTATTTCACACAGGCTGCCATTAGCACATCTTTGCAGGTAAACTGCATCTTCAAAGGACCATACATAGTTATGTAGAAATCATATTCTGATGTCAGATCTCAGACTGCAATCATGCATGATTTTAGACACAACCATAATGAAAAACAGATTTACAATAACTGGACATCAAGTTCAGTAATACAAAGAGGACTACAAAAATCAGATATATCACATGGTTATAGAATGATAACAAGCAGTTTATTTATTCCATATTCGTCACCAACAAGGATCCTAAAGGATGATACGCCTGATTTCCCATCAGAATTTGTGAACAGACAGACCATGGATGTCTGGCTCAGTTACAGCCTAGTCAGTTACTGGCATCAAAGGAAGCCAAATTGAAGGCCACAGCAAAAATGGCTATTTGAAGCCATCTTTACTCAAGTAAAGACTTCCTTCTCCAGGATAAGTAATCATTTTTGAAGTATCTGTTTGTTGATAGGAATGTTCTCTGAACCTCTGCTTCCATTTGGTGTTCACTGATTACTGTAGTTCAGACCACTGCAAGTAATGAAACTAGGTAGGAAAAAGCACGATCTACCACACATCTTTCTTTTTTCTTGAGATATGCCTAGAATTTGTAATCCTCAACACTTATGTCACATTGAACTCAAGAGGTTTTCCTTCTGATTAAACCAATTTAGGATTCTGTGGTAAGTTATCTTTCACCCTGCAGTCCATTGCTATTTGTGCTATCCATGGTAAATAGAATAAAATCTGACTTCGTATGGAAGAACTGCAGGACAGTTGTGGGACTTCAGATGTGGCAACGAGTCTTCTCTGAAAGGAGAGAGAGATCATTATGACAAGCTGAGAGATTCATTGATATATTTGTTACATCTTATTCCCATTCCCCACCAAGGAGCTTAGCGTGGTATGTGTGAAGCTACCCTTTTTATCATCACAACAACCCTGTGAGTTGGACTTTTTTTTAAGTACAGGGAACATATAACCAGGAGTGAATTAAGCACAGAGAAAATGACTTGTATGAAGCTATCCAGTAGACATTTTGGTTGAGTGGGAACTGGAACCCAGGTTTCCCAAACCTGGTTCTCTATAGAAATGGAAGACAGTGAACATTTCCCAAACTTTCCTTGCAGCAAGGTTCATATTCTTGATCCTCCCCCAAGCAGAGATCAGCATCTGTGCTCCCTCTAAGCTGTGGAGTCTT